AGTTATTTATAGTCTATCTCGCCTCCTAGTCCTAATATACTAGGCTTTTATCTTGTCTAGTGCCTTTTAGATAGTCTATTAGGCTAGGTATTCTATTATCTTTGCTATATATTAGTGTCTTAGTCCCTTAAAGTATTATTTAACTAGTAGGATCCCTAATTCTATTTCTACTACCCTTGTTAGTATAGTTTTATATACTCCTAGGATTTTCTTTAGGCTTTAGGTTTAGGACCTACTAACTAGTTACTTAATCCTCTTCGGTATTTTCTCCTAGGCTATCTATATCTATACTCTATATAGTATTGCTAGCTTAACAATTGCTTTATATATAACTTTAGCTTTCTCGAATATAGCCCCCTATATAGAGGCTATAAGCCTATTAATAGATTATATATTAGTATCTGCCCTCTGCTTTGCCTTCTTTACTTATAGTCCCTAATTCAGTTTTGGATCTAGCTAGATCCCTAGTACCCTAAGCTCTACTAATAGTTGGGTTTTAAAGCCTTAGATAGTGATTAATTGCTTTATATTATAGGTTGATTTAGTCTTACTAAAGTAGATAAGCTAGTACTTTTCTAGGGCGAATTTTGCTCTATACCTCCTTGCCTATTTTTTATACTCCTAGTGCTTCTCTTCTAGGATCTTGCAGTTAGTTTCTATTGTCTTAGACTAGGCTAGGATATTTATATTATCTATAAACCCTAATGCTAATATGTTTTTTAATTCTAGGAGTAGGAGTAGGTCTACTATAAAGATAAGGAAGAGGATTAGGGAGAGTATAAATCCTTAAGGGATTCCCTTTTTAGTTAGTATTAGGTCTAATTTGAATTTGCCTAGAATAAGCTATATTAATCTTTTCTATAGGAAGGACTAGATAAATTAGACTATCTAGTTTAGTATAGCTTTCTATTTAAGTATATATAGGAGCCTTTTATAGGAGACATTATTAAAGGCTCCTAAGATATTAAGGGAGAGGAGGGTTGCTACCTAGTTTTAACTATAGTACTAGATATGCTTAATCTGTTCTATAATTAGTTCTATAGCTATTAGTATTAACCTCTTCTTTCTTCCTCCTATCTAGCCTTTAGGAAGGATGTTCCTTTCCTCGGTAAAGGTTATTAGCCTTTTAGCGACAATTTTTTCTAGCACCTTACCTATTGTATTAAGTAGGGCTATTAGTCTATAGGCCTTAAGCTATATATAGTCTTCCTTCTAGGGCTTCCTTAGCACTACTATTAGGGACTTCCTAAATAGTCTTAGATAGTGTCCTAGTACTAGGCTTTATGAAAAGATATTAGCTAGTGCTAGGGCTAGCCCCTTCCTATATACTTTTAGAAGTTTGTTATAGATCTTGTCTTCTCCTAGTGCCTTATTACCTAGAATTTTCTTTAGGATCCTTTCTATAGTTTCGGGTTTAACCTAGGTATCTCTTAGTATACCTAGTAGTAGAGTCTCTTATTCTATCTCCTTTATATCTAATAGGTCTGCTTATACTTTTCTATAGAAGAAGTGTTAGCCTAGGGCTCTTACTTTCCCTTCTATTATAGTCTATATTTGTCCTTATTAGTCTATAATGTCCGGGAATTGTAGTAGTATATCCTTATCCTGTTTAGGTCTCTTTACCTATTTAGCTATCCTCTATATCTCCTCTAGTTTCTTTGTAATTATTCCTATTATAGATCTCTATTCTTATATCTTATCTTTCTTAATCTGGATCTTCTTTTCCTAGTAGGCTTTGTTGTAGTTGTCCTATACTTCCTAGGTATAGGTTTATGTCTACTACCTCCTTGCCTTCCTTACTACTTTAACCTTCCTTATATATTTACTAGTCTAGTATAGTTGCTAGTATAGTAAATGTTTCTTTGCTAGGGTATACTTTCTAGCTACCTATTTTAGGATTCCTGTTAGTTCTTCTACTGCTTTATTAATATCCTCTAGCCTTAGTAGGTACTTTATTAAGAGTTCCTCTAGTTTTAGGTCCCTTTCTAGTTCCTCCCTAATCCTGCCCTATTAGGTACCTTTCTAGTTAAGCTTCTCCTCTGGTTCCCTTTCCTAATTAGCTTAGATATTTAGCTCAATCTATACCGGGAAGTAGTCTAATAATTCTTCTAGTTCCTAGTTAATCCTATATCTTATAATCCTGTTCCTAATCTAATATAATATAAAGTATAGGTCTAGTGTGCTACTACTTCCTCTTGCCTCTTAAGTAATTAGTCCCTTTAGGGTAATAATTTCTATTTCTTCCCTCTCTAATATATCAATTAGTCTTCCTACTAGGAAGTAGTAAGCTAGGGTAAAGTCTAAGCCCTAGAGGGGGTAGTAGAGGTTGAAATCCCTAAGTAGGATTTAGTAGGTATTCCCCTAGATAACTCTAGGTAGTCTTTCTAGGGTTTTTAGTTAGGTACTGCTTCTCAAGTCTAGTAGCAGGTTATATATATAGTAGACTTAGAGTATACCTTAGGATGTCTCTACTTGAACTAATGTTAGGTCCCTATCCTCCTATAGTATAGCCTACTAGGTTTCTATATCTATCTCCTTACTAATATAGATATATATCCTTAGGGCTCCCTAGTTATAGATAATTAGGCAGTATCTTAGGTCTTTAACTGTTGCTAGTCTCTTTATATATAGGTTGAGCTAGGGCTCTTAGATTGCAATAATGTAATGTTCTTTTAGGTTTAGTGCTTAAAGGAAGCTCCTCTATACCTTGTCTTTACTCTTATTAATATTGTACTATATAATGTTTAGTAATATTGCAATGTTTATTAGGTTTTATCTATATTATTTCCCTATAAGTTTTCCTTTAGTCTTCCCTTACTTTAGACTAATATTTAACTAAGCTTTATCTGCCCTACTTCCTTTCCTATAATGTTAAGGTATCTTAGTCTCCCTAGTTGCTAGTAACTCTCTTATGCTAGTAAGGCCCTAAATATGAACCTATTATCTTGTCTAGACCTCTTTTGTAGTACTTAGCTAGGTTGCTTCTGTACCTAGCTGCCCTAGCTTATTATATATCTTTTTAGTATATTGATTCTAGCTTCCTTTGCCTTCCTCGCTACCTGTATTCTTACTAGGTATTCCTTCGCCTAAGAGGGGTGTCTTTTAGTATAGTATATATATCTTGCTTCTCCCTTGTATGCTTTATATTCTTTAACCTAGTAATCCCCTATATAATAGGAGCAGGTATTAGTTGTCTTTATGCACTTAGCTACTAAGTGTCTATAGTATTGATATTTGAAGTACTATATTATCCTATAGTTGCTTCTGTATATCTCTATTTCTAATCTTTTAAAGTCCTAGAACAACCCCTAGTCTAGCACTATATTAGCTTGCTCTATACTCCCTACCTAGATAATTAGGGAAGACTGCTTCTTAGTCTCTTCGATTTTCCTTTTAATCTATACTACTTTTATAATCTTTAGGCCTAAGTATATAGCTTAGTTTTATCTCTATAGGCTCTTAATATCCTATTCTTCCTTAAAGCTTCTTATTATACTATAGGCTATAATTATAAATTGCTATTAGGAGACCTTTGCTGTTTTCCCTATCTTAGTTGTCTATTCTTTTTATATCTCTAGCTTCTTTTTGTCCTACTCTTATGCTATAAATAGCTTAATTACCCCTTTACCTTCGTTCCTAGCCCTAATTACCTCTTTAACTGTAATTCTTTCTACAATCTCTTTCCCTATAAGTCCTTAGATTTCCTTTTGCTCCTATAGGTCCGTAATATAGACCCTAATTACTATCCTCGGGGGTTTTAGCGTCTCTTAACTAGCTACTGCTACCTAGGTACGATAGTTTAGGCTTATTTCCTGCTGTTTCTTCGTAATCTTTACTACGACTATATTAGCTACCTTTGTAATTACGTAGCTTACCTAGTTGTAGATTGCTTTTAGTCCTCTAAGGAGTTCTAAGATTATTATCCTATATACCCTCTTAGGGGTTCTTCTATCTTCCGCCTTTAGCACCTCCTCTGCCCTAGTATATAGTGCTTTCCATTCGTCCTCCCTTCCTTCTTAACTGTCTTCCCTTCGTCTCTAATTGTTCGCTGCCATTTTTATTCTCGCTATATACCCTTTACTAGCTTATATAGTAAGAGCCTATTCAATCTTCTTTAGTAAAAAGATTATAGCGCTATTGTTGTTATTTGCCCTTAGCTCTTCGAATAGGCCTTTACTACGCTTACGCTTCTTCTTCTTAAGATTAAGTGCTATTTAGAAGCCCTTGTTCTCGGCCTTTAGTATAGCATTCTTAGTTAGTATAGCGAGAATAGTATTAGATAGCTTGTTAACCTTCCTATACTAAAACTCGTTTAATTCTTTAGCTATAACGTCTCTAAGTAGTCCTTTAAGCTTCTTCTAGTTACTAGCTAATAAGATTGAGTTGCCTAAGTTACTACTAGAAGGCCTTATTGCTAACCCCTTCGGTTTAAAGATATCTAGTATCTCTAGTAGATTAAATGGATATAGGCCTATCTTCTTCTAACTACTAAGAATAATTTTCTTAGTAAGAGCCTTTATCTAGGCAGGCTAGAACAAGCGTAAGAGGTTACGTTTAGTAATACTACACAACCCTTAGCAGTTACAAAGGAACTTGTCCAGTTCTTAGCTATAGTAAACGCTAAGTAGACTAAAGACTAATATATAAAGCGGCTAGAGCCTATACTTTAAGTAAGGAGGGTAGACAGCAACTAAGATCTTGTTCTTATTATACTAGTTAAGGAATAGCATATTTATATAGCTGCTATAGCTATCTATAAACAAGAGCCTATGTCTTCTACGTACCTTATCCTTTGTACAGCAATAGAAGATCTGTTCTAGCTACGCTAATCTAAGGCTATTGTCTGTCTAATCCTTCTTAGAAGAAGCGGAGAAAGTAGTATATTCTAAAGCCTTAAAGTCCTCTACCTAAGTGTCCTAAATATTGCCTATCTTAGCTTGATAAATTAGGCTAGGTAGTAGCTCTATTCTATTAGCGTAAATATAGCTAACTATTGTAAGCTACTCCCTATTGCTATAGTATCTATCGCCTAGTAGTCTCTTACTATCTAAAGCGGCTTTTAAGACTACTCTCTTTACCTTTATAAGGAAGCTAATAAGGATATCCTTCTTATCTATATTATAGATATTCTTAGGTAGTATATTATACTCTTTAATCTTCCGCTCTACTAATTCGAAGTATACGTATATTAAGCCTTGCTATCTACCTTCTTGCGCTCCTTATCTAGTAGTTAGAGATAGAGAGAGAGAATCTTGTTTCTATGCCTTTTATAGAAGGCAGGTATCTAACCCTTACTAGGCCGTCTCTTTACGATATCGTATACGAAGTCGCAAAGTATCGATAGTATAGGAGGCAATCTACGCTCTAAAAGGGTATTAAGGTACTCGATAAGCGTACGTTCTTATTAATAGGATAAAATTATCTAGTTTTCGTGTTTTTAGGTAGCTATTCTAGCGACTCTATTCGCGCGTCTACTAAGCGTCGACCGGTCATTTTTATAATGTCTCGCTACTACTAAAATACTGCGCTTGTCTTGCTGAGTAATTTCCGCTATCGTATAGCTATATTAGTCTATTATAGAAGAAGATATATAGTAGTAAAGATAATGCTAGAAACTGAGAATCTATACGGCACGTACGGCTATGCGGCACGCCCGCTTAACTTCTATAGGTATCTAAGTACAAGTGTAATATATAGAGCCGCTTAGTAAAGTTCAAAGCTAGACTATATATAAGAGGGGATCTATAGAAGAGTATATATCTAGATATATACGCTTCTATGCTAGTAGCAAGAGTGTTCCGTGCCCTAATAGCAATTACTACTACCTTTAACCTAGAGGCTAAGCAAATAGACGCTATTAATACTTTCCTAAATGCTAGCCTGCCCTATACGCTATACTTAAAGCTACTAGAAGGTTTCGAATAGAAAGAAAAGGTACTATAGTTATTATAAGCACTATATAGTCTTTAAGAATTACTAAGGCTATAGTATAACTACCTTACTACTACCCTTAAAAACAAGCTTAGTATATAACTAGTAGATAATATAGATCGCCTATATACCGACCTAGACAAGCAGGTATTTATCTTCTTCTATTTAGATAATATAGTGCTATTGTATTACCGCTAATATAAGCAGAAAGCAATGGACTATAAGCGGAAGCTGGTAAGGGAATACGAGCTTGATAACCTAGGCAAGATTTCTTAGTTTCTCGGTATTAAAGTTATACGTAATAGGTAGAACAGAAGGCTATAGTTGTTATAGAAGACGTATACTAAGAAAATGGGTTAGCGCTATAGAATTAATCCTAAAACTAGTAGGCGAGTAGATTTACTATTGCTAACTAGATACGAGCCGTACGAGAAATCTTCTAATAAGTAAACTCGTTCTATAGACTTATTAGTAGTACTAGTATACTAAAGCCGAGTAGGATTACTTAACTTCGTAGTAGTATAGACTCGACCTAATGTTGCTAAGGCTATATTAATGCTGTCTAAGGCTTTGTGGAACCTACGACCAGAAGATATAGCCGCTACTAATTAGTGTATTAAATACCTGCTATAGACAAAACACCTATACTTAGAATATAACGCCGATAGACTAGCAATTACCGCTTATTTAAGCTAACAACTTTATGAATTCTGCGAAGCTCCTAACGCCTCCTAGAGTAACCACAAAGGCACGAGACAGTTATTAGAAGGATAGCTGTTTAGTCTATTTAATAGACTAGTCGATAAGAAAGCAGTACAAGAGTTAACTATTACTAAATCAACGACTAAAGCTAGACTCCTAGCCGCCTTATATATAGGCTTAGAATTAATCTAGTAGAAACGTTTCTATAGCAACATTAGCCTTACTTTAGACAACCTTCCTATACTATATTATAATAATATATAGAGCCTTCTTAGCGAATGCTTCTAAGCTAGACACTAAGCTTAGGTATATAGATATATATTAATACTAGTTGCGTTAAGAGTATAAAGCAGGTTATATACAATGCGAGTATTTAGCAATATAGGATATACTAGCGGATAGATTAACCAAACTCTATAGTCCTTAGAACTAGAAGAGATTTATTTTATATTTAAAGCTTATAATAGTATCTACTAAACTAGAAGAAGTGGATTAAGAAACTTTCTAGCAAACAACGCTAACAAAAGTGTCTAATACGATAACGACGACTAATTAGAACAGAGGATTTAACCTTACCTTCTAATAGGAACTAAATAACGGCGTAGACGACCTTATATTACAGGCTACGTTACTATTACCTATATTATTACCTCGAGTATTAATTTAGTTAAGCAATAACAAGTCTACGGCGTTTATATTAGTACTAGTAATAATTGTATAGTAGTCTTAGCTAAGGGTAGCGTCCTTAGTTTAAGTTACCTATCCTAATTCGTTAAATCTGTTTAACTAATATATATTTACTTAATCCTTTATCTAATTAATTAGACCCTACCTATACGATTAATATAATAACCTATAGTGTAATATTAAGGGCTTAGTTTAACTAAACTAACTAACTATATAGTACGAGTTCTCGAATAAGGCTCTAGTTGTCGGTTTATACTTTAACTATATAGGAAGAAAATATTTCCTAGTAATAGAGGGCGTATATAAAGGTGTACAAGCAGTCTAGATTATATAACGATATCCTTCGGAGTACTCGGGGGATAAGATAAGACTGTCTTATATATAGTGTAGATTTAAACTAATTTTTTGTTATTTTAATAAAGTACTATATATAAAGTTAAAAAGATTAATTTTTCTTTTGTTTCTATATAAAGAAGGATTAGCTAACCCCTTTTATATAAGCTAAGGGGGTATATAACGTGTTAGCTTAGTTATATAACTATTATATAACTTCTTAGTAGGAGAAGGATTTTTATACTATAGAATAGACTATAGAATAGATAGAATAGAGGCAATTAACGAAGCTATATTAAACCGCTAGCAAGGCAGTATTACGTAGTTAATCTACTACGCTATACGTTATAGCTTCCCTCTTCTTAGCTACGGTCCTATAGCTAGCTAGCTAATTAGTCTTAGCATACCCCGTACCCGTACGTATAGCCGAGCAGCTAATTAAATTTAATGCCCCGTACCCGAACGTATAGACGAGTAGCGAATTAAATTCGATACCCCGTACCCGAACGTATAGCCGGTTATCGTCGGCGCTATAGCGACAAACAAACAAACAAGCCTATAAGTTAACCCCTCTAAGGCAGGTACGCGTATAGTCGAGTTACGCGCCTAAGGCAATTAGGTACCTCCGAAGCCGCGTCTGCTAAGGATTAGCCTAGTTAGCTAATAAACGTACGCTAAGAATCGAATATACAATCTTAACCTATAGACCGTAAAGCGCGGATACTACATTAAACCGCTATACTAGCGCGCCCGTATACTAGTATTATATAGCGAGAAAAGATCGGAAGTATTCGCGCTTACTTAGCGTAGATCTCGGGCGCACTATAGGCTATAAAGGTCGGCTACGTACTTAGCGCTAAGCCTCCTTAGCTTCCGCCTTATAACCTAGTAGAAGCTCTATAGAACAATATCTTCTATACCTATTAGGGCATACCTAAAGGGCTAGTATCCGACTATAGCTCGATCTTTATATCGTACTACTAGAGCGAGGTATATCTCTAGCTAAGACTAGGGTATCGGCTATCGATAGCCTTCTACCTATAGACTAATAGTTAAACTAAGAAGTAGAATGCTACCCTATAGTAGTACCTACGTAGCTATATTGACGAGGTTCCTAATAAATAAGTAGACCTCCTATAACTAGCCGAGTTTATATATAATAACTCTGTCTATTTATTAACTAGGGTATTACCCTACTATACTACTATAGGCTATAACCTAGCTATACTATAGCAACTACCGCTCGAGGCCGAGCGCTAAGGAAGGGAAGCCGGTTAATCGGAAATACTAGCGGCTATAGAACGTATATATAAGGTACGAGAAACCTATACTAAGATAGCTAATAAGTTAAAGAAAGTATAGGGCTATTACAAGACCTACTATAGCAAGCATTATACGCTAATAACCTTTAAATAAGGCGATATAGTTATACTAAATACTAAGAACCTCCGCATTCGTAAATACCCTTCCCCTAATAGTAAAACACGCCCTTAGCTAGTACTACGGTTTTTTAGCCCCTTCTATATTCGAGAGCCGAAAGGCAATAGTTAAGCCTATTAATTATAGCTCCTACTATATTATACTATCTATAATACCTTCTCTATATCGCTTCTTAAACTATATTACTACCGAGAGGGCTAAGCAGCCCCTACTAAGCATAGAGATTTATTAGCTAGTAGTAAAGAGCTATAGTAGGCACAACGTATACTAAATAATCGGATAAGGAATAGCAAGAAGGAGTACCTACTACGCTAGCAAGGCTATACGCCTAAGTAGGACTTATAGGAACCTAAAGAGTCCTTTAAGGATATAACCGAGTTACTATAAGAGTATAGGGCTACTAAGGATAGTAGGAAGAAGACTAAGAAGATCTTATAAGCATAATAAAGCCGAGGTATTACCGCTTAGAATTAGTAATACCCCGGGGGTAGTATTAGCTATCTACCGCTAATAGCCCGTTCTTCTACCTCTATTATTACCTAATAGCAAACGACGCTCTTATAGAAGCCTAGAATATACCGCCTATAATAACTACCCTTCTGCTACTCTTATATCTACCTCCTATATCTACCTCTTACTCTAGAAGCGCCTTGCTCGATAAGGATAAAGACGGTACTAGCGGAGCGTAGGCGATTAATTATTGTAGTAAAAATAATATTAGAATTACGAAGAAGGATAAGGGCTAATCGTAGTTGCTTTATAAGCGTAATGGGGGAATAAAGCCTAGAAAGCGGAAGAAATAAATTAGCGCTAAGGCGCTAACTAAAATTTTACCTAGTAATACTATTATCGCTAAAACCTTACTACTAGCGACTCCTACTATTATTAACCTTGTCCGCCCCGCGTACTCTATTAGAATTCCGCTAAGGGACGCCGCCGCTATATTCCTTTCCTACCCTATCCGCTACGTATATAGATTGCTAGCAAAACTATATAGCTAATATATACGGTATTAACTAAGGACTAAAAGAATAAAAAGATACTTTAATAGAGCAAAACTATAGACAGGCAATACCCGGAATTACTCTTA